TTAAGTTAAAATTTGGAAACGCGATCCCTGATTGATGTTTTTATACATGGCGTCATTGTTTCAAAGTTCTGTATTTGTGCAGATATCTGAAGCTCAGAAGACAAATGTTCTAGGTGTGGATTTCCTTCCTAATTTGATGTTTTGCATTGGTCAAGTCATAAGTTCTCTTAGTTTTTCTACTAGCTTTAGGATCCGAGTTTAAGGAAGTGAAGATGAGTGTGATCATTTGTTTCTACCTGTTTACTCTGTGGTGCTTGCCATGGCTTTCTGAGCGTAGGTGTGTACAGGCTTATCCAGTGGCCTTCCTTTGCCAGGGATGGGTGATGATTTTCGGTTCATATCCGTAGAGGCAATACACATCAGTTGTAAAATGATAGAGTAGTGATATGTTAAAAAGTATCAAAGAAATGGTTTATAATTGGTGTGGTACAAAACTTGCTTTAAAATTTATTTCAGTCTGGAAAGTTCACAGTTTGGTCATTAACTCTGAGGAGAACTCATTGACTGAAAGTAGAGATACTTTTAGAAGCCGTATTCTCGTGGTAGGGCTGGTCCTGAGTGGCATCCCAGGTCACAGGAAGTGGTTTCAGAAGGTGAGTCAGGGAGACAAGTTAGGGTTTTTGTTTCGACCAGTGAAAAATGATGGATGCTAGAGGTCTGAAACAGAAATGATGAATTTTTTGTCAGTAACACACAGAGTAAAGCCGTGGAATACAGTTTTGACATTTTCAGATTTAAAAAAACAGTGTTGTAAATTTGAGTATATGGAGATATGGTGGTACCATATCTTTTCAGATAACATTTTAGACTTTTTCTCATTACTTTCTTCAAATATTTAGTTTGCTTTTTTTAAGAAAAAAAAATCTTTTTTAAAAAATGAAAATGAAAAGTAGGCAGGCTTGACCACAGATTTGTTTTGCCTCCTGCCCTCTCATGAAAATTACAAATAAAAAGTAGCCATGTTCATGTGAGTAATTACCCTGTCTCTTCCTGGGGTATTCATTCCTGGCAGTCCCTGAAGTGTTGGCAGGTGTCCTGTGATAGAGCTTTCTGAGTATTACTTTAGTAACTGCATTCTCTTGAGGAAGGATGGCTGTTGAGTATTACTTATCTTGCGTTTTTACACCGTAGCCAGGGTGCTTTCGTTTCTGCTTACATATATTTGCAGCTTTAGGATAGCTTGTTACAGTTTTTCCTGTACTTGCACATTTTCTCTGGCTGTTCTGATTGTGATTCAGCAGAGCTGGGGAGACCCTGCCCCGCTGGCCTGCTGAAACTCCCCAGGGAGACCAGTGCGTTAGGCCACGGGCCACAGCAGAGGCACTCATCACGGGAGTTCTTCTGTTTGTGACTGGAAACCATTCCCTCTCCATCTTCTCTTTCTCTCTCTCTTTTTTAAATAGGGAAACATCGAATTGCTCATAAGCCTCATTCCAAACCAAAAACTTCCGATATTTTTGAAGCAGATTTTGCAAGTGAGGTAAAATCCAAGGATTTGCTTGCTGATAAGGAATTGTGGGCTCGACTCGAAGAACTGGAGAGACAAGAAGAATTGCTGGGTGAACTTGATAGGTACCTAATGACAAATTATCTTGCCCAGAGAATTTGTTTCTGTACACGTTTCCTCATTAATCTTTTTCCTCATTAATAAAATAATATGTGCTCATTGAAGGAAATGCAAAAGAGCATAATGTATTAAATTATCAATAATCCTTTCACCCCAAGATAAATATTAATTCTCTAGAGTATTTTCTTTGATGGCAGCATTTATACATTTCCATGCCCTGTGCATGTACATAAATACTTAAAATGAACCTGCGTTTTTTCTGAGATTTCAGCCACATTTTACATAAGTAATTATTTCAGATAGTTGACTTTTAATAATTATTGACACAAAGTACATTGAGGTTCAACGGAAGTGTTTCTGCTCAGGAGAATGCTCAGTCTTTGAGTTGACAGAAAAGAAGAAGCCTGCTTTGAAGTTAGGTTTGATATTGTGAAATATTTATGCCTGTTTTCCTTTAGCAAACTTTTCTTCTTTCTGAGCAGGCTATTTATGTAACTACAGTAGGTATTTATATACTATAATAGGCAGTTACATGTATGAAATACATATTAGCATTGACTTAGAATTGTCAAAGTGCTAGATGAAGAGTGCCACTCCCGAAGTCCCTGTATTATTGTGCTTAACTGAGGTACCACGTACAGTCATTAGCTCCTGTGCAAAGTAGGATATGAAATGTACAGAAGGCTTTGTTTTTTTCCTGCCATTGTACTTATTGGTTCTTAAGGTATTTCACTTACTATTAACCAGTGCTACTTCATTTATTCCATTTTTTAAAGACTAGTTTTAGATGTTGTGATTTTCTAGAACCTGTATTTGCTTTATATTATTTCAGTTCGATTGCACTTTTGATTCTGTTATTTTTGTAACCTCTTTAAATCTTTTGCATAATGAAGCATGATACACATGCATTCATGTGAATAAATACAACTATTTTCCTGTATGTATGTACAAATCATATTTTTAAAAATTGATAGTGCAAGTTTATAAATTGCTTTGAATATGGAAGTAGATAATAATGTATTATAGTCCTATCTTTAATTTCTATGGAGATTAATTTATATAGAAATGTTTAGACAGACATTATGTATTATATGAAAATACATTTTCTCTGAGTTTCTTACAAAATTCTTATTGTAATGTTGATATTATATATACTAACCTGCCAGTACTTGTTGTAGAAATTAAATGTTTTTCATCTTCTATATTCTATTTGAAAACTTCAGTATACAGAAGTGTAATGGGAACTGAAATTTTTGTTACTTTAAAGCAAGTTTTTCTTTTATAACCTAAAGTTCTAGTTTAAAACATGACCTTATTTAAAATTTAAATTTCTGTCTATTAAATAAACTGAGAATTAGAATATGTACAATTCTTGTATACTTTCTGATCTTCTTACTTTTCTCTTTTACATTACTAGTAAGCCTGATCCTGTGATTGCAGATGGAGAAGATAGAGTATCTTCTGAAGAGGAAAAGGAAGACCAAAAGACAGATACGAGTTTGACGCGTCCAGGAGTAGACTCTCTTACTCCCAGAGCTTGTCAGCCAAATAGGGCAAGTGCAGAGCTATTGGATGGGCAGAGGCATAGTCAATTGAACTGTTCAGTGAATGGTTCCGTCTCTTACCACAATAATGAAGATGATGATGACGAAAATGGTGATGACAGTGACGATGAAAATGACCATGATATTGTAGGATTTGGAGATAATTCCATACCAACAATATATTTTTCTCATACTGTGGAACCTAAGAGGGTCTGTATACCTTTACACTTTTACTAATTTTGCATGTAATTTGAACATTAAACATTTGTGATGTTTTTTTTGAAAGAACATATTAACAATGATTAGTTAATATTGCCTGGTTATGTCAAATGTGATCATTTCTTTGGCCTGCTTTGATTGATGTGTTTTAAAATAAAAACAAAGGAATATATAGCAAGTTAGCTGGTTTGGGTCCATTGTTCTCTGAAGCCACAGTTGAATTAGAGTTGTTGGAATGAACTCCGCATTGAATGGCAATTATGGCAGCTCCACCTGTCCTTCATGTAGAAAATTGTGTTTAAGAATGCTGGAGTTAGTGATTCGATGCACGCTGTGGTATGGTTGGTAAGTGACTGCTTTGTTAAACTTTTCATTATACCAGGTTGTTGTTTTCTGTGTGGGCATAAAATGAATAGGCACATCATGAGCAAAGAGGAAAAATTTAGGAAGAAGTAAAATTAGTTCCTTTTCTGACAAATGTAAACATCTGTGGGTAGTCATGACTTTAGACGGGGGGGATGACTGTAGAGCTCTTGGGATACGAGTTTTCAAGCTTTCTCTCAGTGTCAGAATCCTTTGTTTCTTCCATATTTATTGTAGCATTGCAATACTTAAAGTAGATCCAAGGGGGTTGGCTCTGGTTGAAGCTGCTCTCCCACCCCCAAGCTCCGGATCCATATACTACAGAGCTGCCAGAATTTGTCCTCCCTTGATACAGCAAAGAGCCCTCTTCCTTCAGTTCAGAGCTCCTCCCCTGCCCGGTGTACCAGCCTGCATCTGAGTTCAGGGTCTCTGTCTTAGGTATCTGTGATTAGTATTTAATGAGACATGCTTTAAACATCTGTGATGTATCTTCAGTTCCTTAAGTTATCCCTGCTTTAATATAAAGTGAGATAACTGTATGCATTAAAATACTTGAATAGCTCAAAATAAAGGGATCATTGGAATTCCTTGCAGAAAGTTGGCTGAGATGATTAGCTAAAAAAAATTTGTTTTTTTCCCGAAGCTTTATTTTTTATAATTGTTTGCTACTTTCCTTTAGAAGAAAGAAATAGATAATATTTGGAAGAATGTTATTGGGAAAGGCAGTCACTGACATGGAAGGTGTCTCGTAAGTGCTGAGACGGACAGAAAGACATGTCAACTCCTAACAGCTAAATTTCATTCTTTAGTCTTCCAATTTCTAAAATAAGAAGTGTTTAAACATCTCTAAATAGTTGATCATTATCTGTTACTGCTTTCATGACTTCATTTACTTTCAATTATGTATACTTTGTTACTTATAAATATACAAACGATTGGTCCACTATATATACTTTGTATATATTATTTTATACTTTATTGACTTATATACTTATGCATAAACATTTTATGTTACATTCTATAAGTGTAACATAATGTATATGTATTTTAAATCGGCCACAGCTTTAGCATTATATGTGCTATATACTGTTACAGTCTTACTGAATGTTTCTTGTGTTTTGAAATGATTTAAACCAAAAATGTCTATGAAAGTAGTGATATGAAACTTATCCTTAATCCAGCATTTAGTTTAAATATGTTTTTTTTTTTAAAGATTTATTTTTATTATTTTTTCATTGGAAAGGTGGATATACAGAGAGGAGAGACAGAGAGGAAGATCTTCCGTCCGATGATTCACTCCCCAAGTGAGCGCAACAGTCCGATACTATGCCAATCCGAAGCCAGGAGCCTCTTCCGGGTCTCCCACGTGGGTGCAGGTTCCCAAAGCTTTGGGCTGTCCTTGACTGCTTTCCCAGGCCACAGGCAGGGAGCTGGAAGGGAAGTGGGGCTGCCGGGATTAGAACCGGCGCCCATATGGGATCCCGGGCGTGCAAGGCGAGGACCTTTAACCACTTGCGCCACCGCGCCAGGCCCAGTTTAAATATGTTTTGCTTTCTATACAATGACTCTGAACTAGAATTTAAAAATTATATAATTTGGGCCCGGCGTGATGGTGCAGTGGTTAAGGTCCTTGCCTTGCACGCCCGGGATCCCATATGGGCGCCGGTTCTAATCCCGGCAGCCCCGCTTCCCTTCCAGCTCCCTGCCTGTGGCCTGGGAAAGCAGTTGAGGACGGCCCAAAGCTTTGGGAACCTGCACCCGCGTGGGGGACCTGGAAGAGGCTCCTGGCTTTGGATTGGCATAGCATCAGACGTTGCAGCTCACTTGGGGAGTGAATCATCGGACGGAAGATCTTCCTCTCTGTCTCTCCTCTCTGTATATCCACCTTTCCAATAAAAATAAAATAAATCTTTAATAAAATTATATAATTTAAGAAGGTATAATTTAATGACATAGAAACATGATATAGTAAGGGCTTAAAGAATTGTTTGTTTTTATTGGAAAGGCAGATATACCGAGAGGAGGAGAGACAGAGAGGAAGATCTTCTGTCCTCTGATTCACTCCATAAGTAGCCACAATGTCTAGAGCTTAGCCAGTCTGAATCCAGGAGCCCAGAGCTTCTTCTGGGTTTCCCATGCAGGTGCAGGAAGCCAAGGCTGTCCTTGACTGCTTTCCCAGGCCACAAGCAGGGAGCTGGATGAGAAGTGGGGCTGCCAGGATTAGAACCAACACTCATATGGGATCCTGTCACGTTCAAGGCAAAGAGTTTAGCCCCTAGACCATCATGCCAGGCCCAGTAAGGGCATTTTAATCCTACCTGATCATGTATGTCATTTCTGTGTCAGATAATTTTAGCTGTCTCTCTCTCTCTCTCTTTTTTTTTTTTCAATTAAAGAATTTGTTTTCGTTTGGCCTTAATTTATCAGACAATTCTTAATTTTTGATATGAAATTTTTAGGTCCGAATAAATACTGGAAAAAATACCACTTTAAAATTCAGTGAAAGAAAAGAAGAAGCCAAGCGTAAGAGAAAAAACAGCTCTGGCAGTGGGCATTGCTGCCACGACCTGCCCCCCATCAGGACACCCGCGGACATTTACAGGTGAGTGGCACCCGCTGACGGCTGTCGTGGCTCAACCATGGACAGGAAGAAGCTGGACCATATGCCTGAGATAGTCTGATGTCTTTAGCTTAGTGTTTGAGAGGTTGGCCACCAAAACCTCGGATTCCAAAGCGGTTGGGCTGTTGCACGGTTTTGTCTTCTTTCTCCCACATTGACAGATCTTTTGAAACATTTCCAATAGATATGCATAATCTTGTATTTTTTTTTAAGATTCATTCATTTTTATTAGAAAGTCATATATATAGAGAGAGGAAGATCTGTCCTCTGATTCACCCCCCAAGTGGCTGTAACAGCTGGAGCTGAGCTGATCCGAAGCCAGGAGTCTGGAGCCTCTTCTAGGTCTCCCACGCGGATGCAGGGTCCCAAGGCCTTGGGTCGTCTTCCACTGCTTTCCCAAGCCACAGGCAGGGAGCTGGATGGGAAGCATGACTGCCAGGATATGAACTGGTACCCATGTGGGATCCTGGCGCATTCAAGGCAAGGACTTCAGCCAATAGGCTACCGTGCCTGGCCCCTTATACTCTTGTATCTTAACTTCAGCAGTGCAGGTTTGTGTTTCCATGGGTCAGGATGGTACTTCTCCAGCACAGCTTTAATACGCTCGGCAGGTAGCTTGCCTTCCCACAGCAGGAATTAATTATTCTGTTTCAGCTTTTCATTGTACTGTTGAGAAAACTATCATTTGAAAATACTATTTTTATGACACATATTTATAAAATAGAGAAATTGTCTTACAAATGGGTTTAAAAGTATGGAATCTTGGCAAATCAAAACATTTTCACATATATCTGTATCTATATAGTACATATATGTGGTGCTGTATTTTCTTATATCAAACTCTTGTCTTTCAAAATAAGAGAAAACGTGTTACTTGAGGGGTCAGTGTTGTTGCAAATGTGAAATTTTTTGGATAGCAATCTTTAGTAAAAATTTTAAGATAACTTTCTAGAAAGAAGTCAAGAAATCTTTGTACAATTATTCAGAGTTTTATGCAAAACCTGAAATAGGGGTGTGCTTTGGCACCGTCCTAGGGTCTTCGTTGATGTTGTGAATGGTGAATACGTGCCTCGTAAATCAATCCTGAAGTCCCGGAGCCGAGAGAACAGCGTGTGCAGTGACACGAGCGAGAGCAGCGCGGCTGAACCGGAGGAGAGGCGCGGGGCTGTGCGGAGTGTGAGCTGGGAAGACGCCGCGTGCAGCGGTGCTGGTGAGAGCGCTGTGGGGGAAGAGCCACAGGAGAATCTCAAGTGTTTGCCCTCCTCAGGGACACTGGAGGTGTGTGTGTGTTCAACTCTTCTTTCATATAATATTTTTGACCAGTTTTTGCCATTGAATCTTAAAAGTCATAGGATCTAATTCTTGATTTGTACTTTTTTGATAGTTAATACAAATAGTTCATGATCTTCAACAAGCATGATGTATTATCCATCTTAAAGGTCTATTTTTGTGAAAAAAAGGTTTTTTTTTTTTTTAAATATCTTACTTATATGTGTCATTTTTTGGCTCTAATCTCATGTAAGAGCTCAGGTACATTACCAGGAGACCTGATTATGGTTGTTTTGTGTTATTAAATAGTGTAGTCTCTTGTACAAGCCTTCATGGAGCTAAAAACAAACAAATGAAGAGCAGAGAATTACCTAACAACCTTCTGTGTTTTGGCCTTGGACAGTGAAATGTAATTCTTGGGGGTTGATGGAATATTTTTTATGATAATGAAAGGTATAGATCCTTTCTCAGAAAAATTAGTGCATGTTCATACTTTTTTTAAAAAGAATTATTTTGTTTAATTTGAAAGGCAGAGTTATAGAAAGAAGCATGGAGAGGAAGAGAGAGAAAATTCCTCCGTCCGCTTGTTCACTCCCCAAATGCCCACAGCAGTGTAGCTGGGCCGATCCGATGCCAGGAACCGGAGCTGCTTCCTGCCACATTCTTCCATCGCATGTCACAGCTTTGTAGAGCTCATGGATAGTAAAGTGAAGTGATCCCAAACTCTCACTGTCCCTGAAACAGGACAATATTGTTTGTTTTATACCCAGACCTAGTATTTTGTATGTTTGTGTGTGTTTTGAATTATTAAAAAATATTAGGGGGCCTGTACTGTGGCCTAGTAGTCTAAGCTTCTGCCCACAGCACCGGCATCCCATATGGGCACTGGTTTCTGTCTCAGCTGCCTCACTTCTGATCCAGCTCCTTGCTTGTAGCCTGGGAAAGTCAGGGAGGATGGCGCAAGTCCTTAGGCCCCTTCACCCATGTGGGAGACCCGCAAGCAGCTTCCTGCGTCTGGTCAGCTCGTCTGTTGTAGCCATTTGGGGAAGAAACCAGAGGATGAAAGATCACTCTATCTCTCCTCTCTGTAAATCTAGCTTTCAAGTAAAAATAAAAAATCTTAAAAAAAAAAGTATTAAAAAGATTGAGAAGCTTATATCTGCATTGAGCCAATATATGTTTGTATGTACAACCAAGCACATATAAAAAAATATAGTTAGAGAGCAGTCTTTTGGCCTAGTGAGTAAATCACTGGTTGAGATATCCACATTTCATTTTGGAGTGCTTAGGTTCAATCCCTGCCTTCAGCTCTGACTCCAGCCAGCTTTCGGCTAATGCAAATTCTGGGATAGCGATGTTGGCTCAACTTACTGACTTGCAGCCACTCACATAGGAGACCTGAATTGAGTTCTGGCTCCTTGCTTCAGCCTGGGTCCAGCGTGGGTCTTGGACATTTGGGGGGTGAACCAGTAGGCAGGAATTCTGTGTGGGTCTTGGTGTCTCTCTCTCTCTCTCTTACGTTGAATTTACCAAATGGCACTGGATGCTAACTGGATATGGAGATCATTAATGTGTAAGGACCAGATATACAATTAGAGCCTTTCCCTTTCATATACCCAATACACAAAGATGTTAGGTGAGCTGAAAAATATGCTATTTAAATGATTTATTTATTTGAAAGGCAGAGGGACACATCTTCCATATACTGGTTCGCTCCCCAGTTCCAACAATAGTGTGGGGCAGAGCCAGGAACTCCAAGGCTGTCCCCCAAATGGATGACCATCATCACTGCTGTCTTGGGCACTTTAGCAGAGAACATGATGGGGAGGGAGTGTCGGGATAGAGCGTTACAGTCCAGTGCAGGATGGAGGTGTCACAAGCAGAGTCTTCATCTCCTGTGCCACAGTGCTGCCCAGGCTTGTTCAATAGCCTTTCCTACTATTAGTAAGTAAGCAGCAGGTGCAAACTTCTGTTAACAAGTAGTTGAAAACTGGGTGTGTGTAAGGACTTAAATATTGTGGAGTTTATTCTCAATTCAACCTTCCTAGCTTTGCATTTTGTCTTTGACTATTATTTAGTAGATGTTATAAATTTTTTAATGCCAAAATAAATAGTTCATGGTTATGCCAAAATATTTTCTCTCTCAAAGCACTTTTAATATAATAAAATGGCTGTATACTCATCGTGATAAAATAAGACTTTGTAAATTTGTTTTAGAAAATAAAAATGGCGGGCTAGACTCCAAAAATGCTGTGGGAGAGAGGTGCGACGTTTTTGTGTTTCCGTGGTGAGAGGTAGAATAGGATGGCTTTTCAAGCACAAATGGTGCATGACCTAAAGTAATTCTGAACACCTAAAATACAAAAGGAAGCAAAGATATATAAAGGCTTACATCGCTAATTTTAGTTGGTTCTTACATTCTTTCAGATATACGGGAAGAATTTCCAAATAAATACAAGGAATCTTTAGACAAAACCGTAACTCCTTGGTTTTTTCAATATACCTTTGTATACGAAGCTGTGTAAGGCTGTCTCCTGGGATTTGTGTGCCTTATTTTGTTCCTTGTAGATCATTCTTGTACAATTGACCAGATAGGTCCAGCACACACCCGCTTGGAATTAGAGTTGTTATTATTATTATTACTATTGTTATTATTTTGGTGGAACTTCTGATTTCCATCGTTGAAGTAATTCTATTACATGGTCATTCTAAGCACTTTGATTTTTCAGTTTCCACCAGTCTCTTAAATAAAACTGAGACAAGATGCAATAAAATATTCAAACAATTGCATAAATCTCTCCCTCGAAAGAAATGTCAGTCCTGGTGAGGCTAAGCCGTGGGCAGCGTGACCACCACAGGGTACCTCATCCATCATCGGGGTACAGAAGTCCGAGTTTTACACCCACACTTTTTATTATAATACATTATTGTACACAGTGTGAGCTGAGGCTCAATGTATGAGCTTAAGAACCTTCTGTTTATTCATTTTTTGTGTTTATGTAGTTAATGTATACATATTTTACATTTTGTTTTGCATATATACTGTTAAAATTACTTCTTTGGGATAATTAAATATTTTAATGATGTCTTTGAAAAAATCAGTATTTTGGTGTTATGCTGATAACTGTCTAAAAATGTTGGGACTTGGCTTTTTTGATGAAGAAAATATGTAATTGATGAATTGAGGCTAAAGATTTTGTGTGTCTTATTTTTTTATTACTCTAGTATGAATTCTATCTTCTAGGCTTTTTCTGGAACTGTAATAGAGAAAGAGTTTTTCTCATCTTCGTCAAGCCCGCACCAAGCCATTGCTCAGCCTGCCCTCCCCACCATCCCAGAACGCAAAGAAGTTGTGTCAGATGTACCAGAAGAGACTGTGAAGAGAGTCTCCAAGTTCAAAGCCGCCAGATTGCAACAGAAGAACTAGGCCTGTCTAGAATAATGCGAATCTAAATCCTAAACCCTTGTCGTGTGTTTTTGAGTATATATAGCAAAATGTCATATATTTGGAAAAAGGCATTCTGAGTTAGGTTGGCAGCAAGTTCTTTATCATTTGTTAGTGGTATTAAAAATATCTAAAAGTAAATGTTTGACTGCTTTAATATTCAGCTTGTTTTGTTCATCCTCTCAGTACTGTCAACACTTTTGTCTGAGAATGCCTTATGATGCAGTGGCAGCGTTTCGACTTATTTTTTGAAGAATATTGTTCCTTGTTTTTGTCTTTCTAACTAAATACAGGCAGTTTTGTACCAGCTGTGATGTTGTGCATACCATATGGACCATTTTAAAGAAACTTTCAAAATTTCAAGTGAATTCAACAGCCACTACTTGCTTTCACATGTTAAAGGCACTTTAAACAAATCTGCTTCTTTTGTAGGTTTTGAGCTAGGTGGCTGTTTTAAAATCCTTTCCCCTTTGAATATACTACTGTAATCATGAAGGCGAAAGGTTACATGTACTCTATGGCAAAGTTTCTTTGGAAAAATTGTATTTTGTAAAAAAAAAAAGTTTTTCAAGTAAAAATTTCTATAAAACCTGTTCGCTAAATTTTGTGAACTTTATGATTTAGAATTTAGTATAAAAATATCTGTTATCAATATATGTGTCCCGTGTATCCCACCATAGGCCCTTGAGTTCTTACAGGTCCATACACCATTCTTGATTAGTGAGTGCATCTTTCACTGGGATTATCTTTTGAGGGAGGAAAGGTTGTCTTACCTTCCCAGCGGTTTCATTCTTTAAAGCTACTTTCTTAACAGTAAATCACTGAAATAAACATTTTGTTTTAACAAAATGCCCACGAAATAAAGAGAATTTATGCTATCACTGAAAGTTACACTGTGTTAATCATTAGCTTGATGCATGCAGAAATGTAGCTTTTTGAAAAAAGCATTCTGCGGTAGTCCTAAAAAAAAGGCATCCTTGCCAGTCCGTCCTCTATTCATGGCTAACTCTCTAAGGGTCACTGATAGCCCCTTTAATGAATTCTTGCTTAAACAAAGTGAAATTATGTCCTAGAAAAGTAGAAGCTGTTTGTAACCAGAACACAACTATAAAGGTTTTATGAAGGTAAGGAAGTGAATTAGAATCTGCAGTAGTTAATGGAAGAATCAGAACAGAGAACTAATTTTGAAAGATTACCTAAGAATATGGATTTACTCTTTTGTAAACTGATTTACTGGATGTGTAGTTCAAAACTGGTTTTCTTTCAGTCCATCCAGCACTGCTCAACCAACCCAAACTACACCAAGAGTAAAGTCACACCAGAAGCTCCCGCTGCTGTCCCACTGAGCCGGCCATGCTAGATTTTTTTCACCCAGAAACAAACTTTATTAGAGGACTGTTGTGTGGGTTTGTGGTTTTTTTTTTTGCATATGTGTAATTTTAAGAGTGCGGTTATTAAATCTTTTTTCATGTTTCTGAGCTTCATTTTGAGCCTGCTTTCCTCAGGTTAATCTTTCCCTGTAGTAAAAGATGGTAGTAGAAGCAAAGAAAAAGTATTTGACATTTTTTTTTAAGATTTGTTTATTTATTGGGAAGGCAGATATACAGAGAGGAGGAGAGACAGAGAGGAAGATCTTCTGTCCTCTCATTCACTCCCCAAGTAGCCACAATGGCTGGAGGGAGCCAGTCCGAAGCCAAGAGCCCAGAGCCACTTCTAGGTCTTCCATGCGGCTGCAGGGTCCCAAGGCCTTGGGCTGTCCTTGACTGCTTTCCCAGGCCACAAGCAGGGAGCTGGATGGGAAGTGGAGCTGCTGGGATTAGAACCGGCGCCCATATGGGATCCTGACACGTTGAAGGCGAGGACTTTACCCGTTAGGCTATCGTGCTGAACCCTGACATTTTCTGTGTTCTAATGAAGAAGTGAAATAGCATTGCCTCAATTCGTACTTTCTGCTTTACATTGTAACTTGAAATCATCCTTTTTTTAAAATCCTAGTTTATTTGGGTAAAATGAATCTTCGAAGTTTTTTTTTTTTTAATTTAGTTATTTTTATTGGAAAAAAGTCAGATCTATAATAGAGAGAAGGAGATACAGAGAGGAAGATCTTCCACCTGCTGATTGACTCCCCAAATGGCTGCAAAGACTGGAGCTGAGCCGATCTGAAGCCAGGAGCCAAGAGCTTCTTCCAGGTCTCCCACACCGTTGCAGCTCCCAAGGGCCGTTCTCTACTGCTTTCCCAGGCTACAAGCAGGGAGGTGGAAGGCAAGTGGATCTGATGGGCCAGCAAACGGCAACCCCATAGGACCACGGCATACGCAAGGCAAGCACTTAGGCACACGGCTATCACGCTGGGCTCTTAAGTGCTCTTTTTCTTTCTTTCTTTTTAAAATTTTACTTATTTTTATTATTATTTTATGATATAATCCCATAGGCCCTGGGATTTCCCTTATCCCTCCCCAATGCCCTCCCCGCTCACTGAGTTCCCCTATATTATTACTATAGTACAGTTCTTCATAAACAGTCATGAACCCATCATTGCAGGAATGGACAATGGCAGAGAGTCTAGCATTGAATTGTCAAGATACAGTAAATAGTTTCAGTGGAAGTCCATCTTTGGAAGTAGAGATGCATACTGCATTGTATCCTCATATCTGAGTATGAGAGTCTTCATTATACAAATACTATACATCCCCTTATGAAAAGCCACAAAACAAAAGAAAAGGAAATACAGACAGGTACAATGCATGAAGCTAAACAACATTGCACTGGATATGATAGTCTCCATTACACAATTACTGTACATCCCCTTAAATGAAAAGCCACAAACCAAAATCACCAACAGGAAGAAAAACAGAAATTTAAAATACCATGAAGTTAAATAACATGCTACTGAATGACTAATGTGTCACTGAAGAAATGAAAAAGAAAATCAAGAACCATCTTGAAGAAAATGATGCTACTGCATGACCTATGAAGTGTTTTGAAGAGGTGAACCTAATAAAAATTAAAATACATGAGATACAGATTCCACTGGTTTTAGTTGTTGAGATATGTCTCCTGTAGGGAACAAATAGAATGGTTTTGTCTTTTTAATCCAGTCTACTAATCTATCACATTTGATAGGTGAGTTTAAGCCATTTACATTCAGGGTTAAAATGAATGGGTGGTAATTTGGTCCTGTCATTTTGCCAATTGCCATTTTTCATTGATTTAGTCTTCTGTTGTTATTTTACTGGGATGTTCTTTGCATTTACCTTTGATTTTGTGGGTGCTATTTCTTTTCTCTGTTAAGAGAACCTCTTTAAGTATCCTTTGTAGGGCAGGTTTGTAAGAGGCATATTCTTTAACTTTTCTTTATTGTGGAAGAATTTAATTTCATTTTCAAAGACAAAGAAAAACTTTGTTGAATATGTTATCCTGGGCCGACAATTTTTTGCTTTTAGAATCTGGAATATGTCTCCATTCTCTTCTGGTCTATACAGTTTCCTGTGAGAGGTCTGCTGTGAGCTTAATTGGCATTCCTTTATATGTCACTTCATTTTTTTCACGTGCACACATAAAGATCTTTTCCTTATGTTCGATTGAAGAGAGCTTGATTATTATGTATTGTGGTGAAGATCACTTTTGGCCAAGCCTGTTGTGAGTTCTGTGGCCCTCCTGGGTGTTGTCACCCAGTTTTTTCCCCAAATTAGGGAAGTTTTCCTTTATTATTTCATTAGGTACATTTTTAAGCCCCGCTTTTTTGGGGCATGCCTTCTAGAACTCCCATAACTCTTATATTAGGCCTTTTATAGTGTCTCTTATTTCTTGAATAAGAAATAGCTCAACCCAGCTCTTCTTCCAGCTCTTCTTCCAGCTTTTTGATTGTTCCCCCTGGTGACAGGAAATATCTTCCAATTCTGAAATTCTTTCTTCTGCTTCCTTCATTCTGTTTTGGAGACTCTCCACTGTACTTTTCATTTGCTCCACTGTATTCTTACTTTCTCATATATTGGCCTTGATTTGATTCATTTCCAGTGTGACATATTCCTTGAATTCCTTGAATGCCTATTTTATGTACTTCTTGTTGTTTTAAGAAATTTTAGAACAAGTGTTTTGAATTTTATATCCCCTGTTCTCTCGATGTCTTCCTCAGTGAACTCTGAGGTTAGCAAAGGCTTTTGCTCCTTTGCAGTGGAGTCTTCAGTAATATTCAGTGTGCTTCTGTGTCTTCTTTTGCTCTTGGTCATTGTTCTTCTAGTTATCAGATTCTTGTCCTTGGGGCAGGTTTCTAGGCCATGTCACCCACAGGTCTACACAGGGTTTGGTACACAGCTCTTTGTTTTCAGTCACTTGTGCCACTCCCTCCAGCAAGTTCCAGCAAGGTCTGGCTTCTTATGTAAGATTTCAACCATGGTCTCTGTAGCCCCAGCTCTCGGCTGACCAGTCTCCACCTCCTGTGATACTGTGCTGAGGCTGTACTATTGTATGTACTAACTTTCTTCACTTCCGGTTGGAGTAGGTCCCAGGATTTGGGAGATGCCAAGGGTCCTGTATAACTAGGTTGTTGTTAGTGCTGATCTTACCAGAACCTGTTGGGATGTTAGGTCTGAGGGCCATATGGACCTTATTTTTACCCCTATGATGCCAAAGTCAGCACTGTTTTTCTTGTAGGAGCAGTGCAACGCACTGAGCTCAGTGAATTTACTCCCAGTTCAGTGCATGCACAGCTCACTGTTATCCCTGTAATCTCAAATAGTGGGTTTTATTTTTATTTTCTTACGTGGTTTTTTTTTTTTTTATGACAGTTTCTCTATTGCAATAGTAAGTGCTTACAATTTCTGTTAGTCTGTGGAGATTGTTCTTTTAAAAAATGATTAAGTCAAAAAACTATGGAGAAGGAAAGAGATATCTTGCATCCACTGGTTCATGTCTCAGGTGGCCCCAGTACCCGGATAGTGGTCAGTCCAAGGCTAGGAGCCTAGGCTTCTACTTGGTCTCCCATGTGGATGGCGGGGGCTCAGGGAGCTGATCCATCCAGTGCTGCTTTCCAAGGCGCAATAGATTTGGAGATAGAGCATGCGCAACAGAGCCTATCCTAAAATCTTACCCTTCACAGGAAATACACTCCATTGTGTTTTTGGAACATAGATTATTCAGCCTCTTTATATGTGAACACTTTGTTTCTGCTGATTTGCCATTGCCCACTGTGATGCAAAGCATAACTGTCTGTACTTTTATATCATTGGAGATAGATTTTCAGGGTAGATCCCCAGAAATAAGATTGATGAGCCATCTGCACAGTTACTGTCTGATTTCTGTATAATTTAAGATTTATTTTTATTTGAAAGGCAGATTTACAGAGCGAAGAAGGGACAGATCTTCCATCTGCTGATTCACACCTCAAATGGAGCTGAGTGGATACAAAGCGGTGAGCCAGCAGCTTCCCCCAGGTCTCCCAAGTGGGTGCAGGGACCCTAAGGCTTAAACCGTGTTTCCAAAACCATAAGCAGGGAGCTGAATGTGAAGTTGGGCGGCGAAAGTCCTCACCCTGAATGTGCCAGAATCCCATATGGGCACCGGTTCTAATCCCTGCGGCCCTGCTTCCCGTTCAGCTCCCTGCTTGTGGCCTGGGAAAGCAGTTGAGGACGGCCAGAGGCCTTGGGACTCTGCACCTGCATGGAAGACCTGGAAGAGGTTCCTGAATCCTGGCTTCAGATCGGCGCAGCACCGGCCGTTGCAGTCACTTGGGGAGTGAATCATCAGATGGAAGATCTTTCTGTCTCTCCTCCTCTATGTATAGCTGGCTTTCCAATAAAAATAAATAAATCTTAAAAACTTTGTTATACTGAGAGCTTTTTTTTTTTAGCATTGATGCTGCTGTATTTAATTGATTTTATTTTAACGGTGATTTGAGGTTTTGAATCATGAAGGAGTATCAAATGCTGTACACTTACTGTTACATTTTGTTAAAAGTTGATGCTTTCTTGAAATTGTTCCTGCGTTTCCATCCATTGGAACATTTCAAATTTTTTTAAAAATGCCTAATCAGTGAATTCCTCAAGTACAACAGGTACATATGATTGCTGTATTTTGTTACTGAGTATATTTTATGTTTCCTAGTTGATCAAATGTCACTTAAAAGGATATCATTCAAGATCTAGCGTTTTTGCAGTTCCCCTAACCCTTGCATCACAAGGTGTGTTGTTTTTGAGCACTTAGTTGTGCCAGATATTTGCGCTTCAGATGACTTATCTCATTTGATGTTCAGAGTAACCCAGTGAGGTGGGTGCTGCTTCTGTCCTCCCTCTCTCCTTGTTTTAGAGATGGAGAAATTGTGAATCTGGTGGTGGTGTGGAGCAGGTAAAGCTGCCACCTGTGTTACAGCCAGCATGCCATGTGGATTCCCACTCCGTGTCCTGACTGCTGCATTTCCTCTCCAGCTCCCTGCTAATGGCCAGAAAAATGCAGCAGAGCAGGGCCCAAGTGTTTGG